CGGCCACTGCACTCCAGTCTGGGCGACAGAGTGAGACTCCACCTCAAAAAAAAAAAAGAATTGTGGTCGGGTTCAGTGGTTCAGCCTGTAATCCCAGCACTTTGGGAGGCCGAAGCGAGTGGACTGCCTGAGCCTGCGGGTTCGAGACCAGCCCAGGCAACTTGGCAAGACCATGTCTCGACAATAAATAAATTTAAAAAATTAGCCGGGCGTGGTAGCCCACACCTGTAGTTCTGGCTACTTGGAAGGCTGAAGTGGGAAGGATCACCAGAGCCCAGCAGGCTGAGGCTGCAGTGGCCATGAGCATGCCACTGCACAACAGCCTGGGCAACAAAGTGAGACTCCAACTTAAAAAAAAAAAAGTTATCTCTTGTTTTCTGCAAATGCAGAATACTCTCAATTTATTCTCCTTTTTTCCTGGTTTTATTGCAAGCAAGAATAAAGATAAATAATTATCTTCTACCAGAAAAACGATACAAGTATAATGATGATGGTAACCGATAGCCTCTGAATAAAAGCTACAACAGGGAATGGTGGGGACTGCGGAGAAATTCATAGTCTCCTTTGGACTGTAGATGACTGTTTGGGAGATGCAGGTCCTGTGTTGCCAGATCTTCCGAGTTTTTCCAGAGAAACAAAAAGCCCAAGTTTTTGTTTGAAATTTCCCAATTCATAAATTCAGCTCAGATTTTTAAAGTATTATATAATAGGCCCGATAAAATATGAATCTGGCCCAGATGGGGTCAAAGTAGGGGGCAGGCATATGAGATGCAGCTGGACAGGAGTCAAGGATCAGACTGTCAGGACCTTTGAGACTGGGGCATATAATCCAATGACAGCAGAAAACGTTTAAAGGAGGTAAATCTGAGACAAAAGGTCACACTTGTAATCACTTGAAATGATGACCTTGTTCCTGCAGGGCTCTGACAACTTCTAAATGGCATAGCTCAGTTCTGAGAAGACCCTGACACAGCCTCTAAAATGATACTTCTCTTAAAGAGGGAACATGTCTTCTTTCATTCCCTAGCATCTCATTTTTACCTCAACAAATCTTAGCTGTTTATCTCATGTCTGACCTCATATTTCTATACTCTTCTTTCTCCTTCTTGGAGAAGATCTCTCTTAGCTTCTTTCTCATCTTTTTTTTTTTTCTTTCTGAGTTGGAGTCTCACTCTGTCACCCAGACTGGAGTGCAGTGGCACGCCCACGGCCACCACAGCCGTGACCTGCTGGGCTCGGGCGATCCTTCCACCTGTCTTCCAAGTAGCTGGAACTGCAGGCATGGGCTACCATGCCTGGCTAATTTTTTTATTTATTGTAGAGGCAAGGTCTCACCAAGTTGCCCAGGCTGGTCTCGAACCCCCGAGCTCAGTCAATCCTCTCGCCTCAGCCTCCCAAACTGTTGGGATTACAGGTTTAAGCCACCACGCCCGGCCTCTTTCTCATCTTTTCAAGGGCAGTGAATCTGCATCTAAAATATGGTGCACAAGCTTTTCATGTCCTGACAACGCCAGAAACTTCAAGGTTGTACAGGCTTTCTTGTGAACCGCTGTCTAATCTTAACCCTCAGCCTCAGAGACAAAGCTTTGGGTCAAATCAAATTATGGACCAGTGTGAGAGGAACAGGGCTGAGGTCGGAATGAATAAGGAGCTATAGACTCCCTCACCTGCTCCACAGGAGGTGCAGTTGGAAGGTCCACTTCCTTGGCATGCCCGGCAGGTGTGGTGGCACGGATGGCACCGGTTCTCAAATTCAAATTTCCTTGAGGGACAGTTCAAAACGCAGCAGCCATCATCAAAAATCCTAGAGGAAAAGCAGACTTTTAGAATTGATCAGAGTGATTTTCCAGAATGGCCCTAAGTATCAGAACATGTGGTATTCATGTTCGCCGTGCGGGCCTGGAACTGATCAGCTTAGAATATGTGAAATATTAGTCACGTACCCATCCTTGGCCTAAGACTTGGACCCGACAGCAGGCATGCCAGGAACTGGCTGGGAAGGCAATCTTCATTCTGGTTCCAAACAAGTTAACTGGTGCCCACAGGGATTAAACTCATATTATAGTCCCCAGTCAAATGCAGCCAACAGTCAGATGGAGGTCTCTAAAGTTTCCATACACTCAATAGGCCTCTGGGAAATATTATTCTTTTGTCTATCAGCATGTTCATGCTTTGCAAGGGAAATGTCAGCTCCGTGGGCAATGGAAGGGTAGAGCAAAGCACTACCCTAAGCTTAGGTGTCAGTTAGAAACTTGGCCTGTGCATATAGCAAGTAATCGATGCACTTTGTGAGCACCATTTTTTTTTTTTGCAAGCATTTTCTAATATAGGAAGCACTAATGGCTCTGTTTTCTGACCACGCCTGTGGACGTCTACAAGGGCATTGCAGGTGAGTTAGTCTAGGGGCTTCTAAGACCTCTGGTTTTATATACATACAGTATATATTCCAATGTTATTATAATTTATTATTTTTATTTTTTATTTTTTTGAGTTGGAGTCTCACTGTCGCCTAGACTGGAGTGCAGTGGCAGCTCCCAGCCACCGCAGCGTCGACCTGCTGGGTTCCGGCGATCCTTCCACCTCAGCCTTCCAAGTAGCTGGAACTACAGGCGCACGCTACCATGTCTGGTTAATTTTTTTTATTTATTGTAGAGATGAGGTCTCGCCTGCCCAGGCGGGTCTCGAACCTGCGAGCTCAGGTGATCCACTCACCTCAGCCTCCCAAAGGCGCGGGATTACAGGCTGAGCCACCGAGCCCGCCTTATTCCAGTGTTATTATTAATATTTATATAGTTTTGCTTCATTTTTCTTTGCAAAGTCATCACAAGAGCAAATGTGATTAAGTAATTGGATTTAAGAATTCTGTTCAGAAAAATACAAAATGTCTGTCAGGTTCGAGAGTTAGGTAATGGGAATAGATGAAGTGAGCTGGGGGGTCCACCCCACAGTTTCTAATTGGGTGGGCTTTAAGGAAAGGGAACTGAGAATCAGCATCTCTGACAAGTTTCCCAGGGATGTTAATGCCACTAGTCTGCAAAGCACTCTGTGATCAGCTGTTCTGTGATAGTCTAGATACTGTGGAATTCGCTAAATGATTCCCAGGTTATACAGGTGATGCCAAATTGGTGTCCCTTAGAGCTCCTTTAGAGTAATAGTTATTGTATCTCTTGTGAGGGTAACTGAACAGAGGACAACCGAGGACATAGGATCTACAAGCCCCCATGGGACCTGCTGGCACCCAGGCCGGGACAGCTAAGTGGCCTGCGGAGAAAGAAAAAGGCTTCCTTCTGTCTCCACTATCCTTTTTCACTCAGTCTGAACACTACAAAAAGGAAGGCCAGGTGTGAGCTTCAGGCAACTTGTTCCTGGGGTGGCACTGGCTTATTCAAACCCCACTGTTTCCAGAGCTAGATCTAGTCCATAACTGGAGGTTGGGTCACCTCAACTCCACGTTTGGATGAACACTGGGCTGGGGTGAGGCATTCTGCAAAGCGTAACTTGCTGTGTTCCATCTCCTTCATTCCCACACCCTGAGAGTTTGGGTCATTGTATCAGTCTGGAAACAGAATGGGATTCAAGTCAACAGCCTAAGACAGAGGCCACCTCGCTCTTGGATTCCTGTCCCCTTCTATTCTGGTCACCATCTCCAGCACTACTGTGTGGACAGTCTTTCTGGCACACCGCAGAGCGGGAGAGCTGAAGCCCTAAACAGACAGCCACACACATCTGGCTGTCCATGTCAGAATGGGTCTTCTACACCATGGCACAGAATGAGCTGCCTGTTCTCCCAGCCCAGGTGTTTTTTTTGGAGTTGGAGTCTCACTCTGTCGCCCAGACTGGAGTGCAGTGGCCGCTTCCGGCCACCACAGCCTCGACCTGCTGGGCTCCGGAGATCCTTCCATCTCAGCCTTCCAAGTAGCTGGAACTACAGGCACGTGCTACCATGCCCAGCTAATTTTTGATTTATTATAGAGATGAGGTCTCGCCAAGTTGCCCAGGTGGGTCTTGAACCTGCGGGCTCAGGCAATCCACTCACTTCGGCCTCCCAAAGTGCTGGGATTACAGGCTGAGCCACCGAGCTCAGCCCCAACCCAGATTTTTAGCCAATGGCATGAATGCCACTGGGGGATATCCTGACCCCACCCTGGTTCTGGGGTCAGAGTTAGAGGATTTTTCAAGGAATCATTTGGATGTGGCTAGTTTAAAAAAGTACAAAACCCCAAAACACTGTATAAGAAAAACTACATGAGAGCTTTCTGTGGGCTGGGCGTGGTGGCTCAGTCTGTAATCCCAGCACTTTGGGAGGGCGAGGCTAGAGGATTGCCTGAGCCCGGGGTTCGAGGCCAGCCTGGGCAAGGTGGCGAGACCTCATCTCCACAGTAAATCACAAAAACTAGTCAGGTATGGTGGTGTGCATCTGTAGTTCCAGCTGCTTGGAAGGCTGAGGCGCAAGGATCATCTAAGCCCAGCAGGTCGAGACTGCAGTGAGCGTGCCACTGCACTCCAGCCTGGGTGACAAAGAGTGAGACTCCAACTCAAAAAAAAAAAAAAACCAGCTTTCTGTGGATTTTAAACAAAGAAGATACTTGAGATTCTGCTGAAAAGGAGAACAGGGCACATTTATTCTGGGGGTGCGTTTTCTTAAAATTCAGTTGAGAAAGGGATGCAAAGCACATCATCATTTTATCTTTTATAGGAAGAGGTGACAGATTGGTTTGGGAAAAAAAAATCATTCCTCTCAATGGGAACCATTAAACTCCATCCAGAAGCAGGAATTATGACACTTCCATGTTTATGTCAGAAAGGGGCTATCTTTCTGACTCGATTTTAAGAAAGTGTCAAGTGCCGGACTCGGTGGCTCAGCCTGTAATCCTGTGCCTCTGGGAGGCTGAGGTGAGTGGATTGCCTGAGCCCGCGGGTTCTAGACCCGCCTGGGCAGCGAGACCTCATCTCGACATAAATCA